TTTCTTCATTAATTTGGCGGGTTTTTAGTGTTCGCGAATATTCTTTTTATTCTTTTGCACAAAGATGTTTTGAGAACATACAAGTTTTTTATGTTTCAATGTATGTCCGTAAAACAAAAATATTTTGTTTCGTACATAAACTTAAATATTCTCAAAACGACTAAAAAACCTGGCCAGTTTTTCGCAACTAAATATAATATCAGTATTCGAGAGCGATCGCTCCCACTTCCCGACCAAGCCTGCTGAGGGAGCTTGTCACTTTGTGGGAACAAGCTGGGTTTAGCGATACTTTTACTGTGACCGAGCAAACTATAAAGACCAGAATTACCAAGAAAGTTAAAGATTATCACACTTTAAAAATGCTTAAAACACTAGATTTGCCCGAGGGCAGCTACAACAAGAAGGTTGACAAATATTTGATAGAGAGTAGTGCTCTTTTTTCTATTTAAAAATCAAACATATAAGATTTAATTAAAATTGATAAAAATAGGGATGACAAGGCTAAGAGTGAAGACATAAAATTTTTGAGGCATTGTCTGAGAGGGGATATAGTTAAATTTGGCAACGTTGATAAAATATTTAGTGAAAATGTTCACAGAGCACAGGAAAAACTCCTAAAAATGTCAAAAAAGATCCAAAGGCATGCGGAAAAAAATAAGAAAAAAGTAACCATTTGGAAGTAGACTTTTTAAGCACAGATAGTAAGAATCAAAGTGAATACGATGAAATTTATTTACCTCCTCCTAAAGTCCAGAAAAAACAAAAAAGTTTTCAGAATGATTTGAAAGTTTGCCTTCAATTAAGTCTGGGAGACATTCTCCACAACTGGATTCAAATTATGACCAGATTTAGAATTGGAGTCAGACCAGGTATTTGTCTTTTGAATTCTCAAAGCTGGTAATGTTGACATTGATAATATCCCTATATCAAGAACTCTAAACAGGAAGAACCATACTATTGTGGAGTCTGAGGCACAGATGATCAGGGAGGAAAATTTAGATAAAGTAAGGGGTTTGAAAATTGTGGTACACTTTGACACAAAAATATTGAAAAGATACAATTGGGAAAAAGGAGTATGTAAAAGCGAGGATAGAATCGCTATAAGCGCATCTTCACCCTGGTCCGCTAGACTTCCTTCTGGGCATTTTAAAAATCTAAAGTTCTAAGGGAAGTGATCAAGCTACTGCCATTCAAGCTATGCTTGAATATTATGAGATGTCTGATCAGATTATTGGATTGTGTTCGGACACAACATCCAGTAACACTGGAAGAAAAAGAGGTGCTATAAGCATTATTGTTTCATACGCCCTAGGTAGATTGGTTCTTTGGCTAATGTGTAGACATCGCATCTATGAAAGACGTGACTTACGTGAAAGACTTCATTACATTTAAACAACTGGGAGCTCATCATGAAGCAAGATTTATGGCAGACTGTATCTAAGTGATTCAAATGACTCAAATGTACTACCCAGTTGATTCTGAATCTGGTAATATAAGCACGTTAAGTAATCTGAAGGCTGCAACCAACATAGATGATTTTATCAATGAACAGTCCTTTTGTTTTTGCTGTTGGATATTTCCAAAAAAGAACTTCTCCTCTGGAAAGAAAAAGGCATCGAAGCATTTGAAAGTGAGAAAACCTATCAGTCTTTTACATACTTCTCAAAGTGCGTAAGAACACTTGCAGTTGTAAATGACCATGCAGAACGTCACATCATGTTGATTCAAGATTTTGTTGAGAGCACACACAATTAAGGTAGGCTTTAGGATACTCTCCAGGTATTTTATTATATACATGCAATATAATTGGCACTTATTAGCAAGTATAATATGAATAGTTAATATATAATATTGACTTATTATATTTATATTTTTAGGTTGTCGAGAGAAAACCGGCATCAGATATCAAAAAAGGCTACAAAGAAAGATCTTAATACTATTATTTAGTTGAGTAATATTTTGTAGTTAAAAATATAGGTTTATATTTGTATTATTATTAATTTTTATTTCTTTTGAAATTAAATGATAAACCTAATATCCGAATTATTTTTTTTACTTTTCACGCTAAAATATTGCTTCAAGGTCAAAACATTGACGTTTTTACTATAATTCGCAAAAATTATGCTAAATGTATCGTTATATCCCATTTAAAAGTGAACTTATCTCTAAACTCAATTATTTATTTTACAATGATATTAAAAAATTTCATAGCACGCAAATTCACCTGTTTGACACAGAATGCAGTATTCCGCACATCAAAATTCAATAAATGATTTTTTTTCTTTTTAATTTTTTGAGACACCCTAATAGTTATTAATAATAAAAAGTAATAATATAGGTATGTGTGTAAAAATTTTAAACCATTTGTTTATATAAGTATTATATATGGTACGAAAGAGTTTTGAATTTGTAATTCAATGGTGAAAATTTTATGAAAAAAGAATAATTAAAAAAAATGTTATGACCATTTAAGTAACATTATTTCTTATGAAGGATTGCTTAAGAAAAATGCAACCATCGCACAGTGGGCGGAATTTCAAAAAACCTGGCCAAAAGTCGAAAAGTGATTATAATTAATGGAAAATTTCTGTATAGCATTTTTTTAAATCCCCAACTTTGAATTTTACATAAGTGTACCAAAATTCAATAATGGCAGATCCAAAATGGCGGTGTTTTAAAAACATTAATCATTAGAAATGCCTTTGGGCCTTCGTGTTTAACCAATTAGTTCTAATTCGACATTTAAGTTCAATAGACTAATGCATTATTTACATTACATATATAAACATTATATATAATACTGATATATTATGTATTATGACCGTATTGTTATGCCGCAATGTTAAGAAAAATAAATTGAAAAATTCATTATTTATTCTACTTATTTATTTGTTCAAGGAAAACAAGAAAAACTTTTATTTGCATCATTTATCATAATTGTTTCATTTATATTACTTTAAATTAAATCACCACTGTCATCTGAATCATTTATTATTGAAATATTGTTGACAAACTCAATCACAGACGAATGAGTTTCAGAGTTTAACTTTTAACCAAGTGTCATGTGTCTTCAAAAATATTTTTTTTGTTTGGTTACTACTTTTCCATTTTATTTTTAATTTTGTCAATACATTTTTTAGTTTCTTTTTATCATCTGTTGAAAATTGGAAACAAATTTTTCTTCTTAGACACAACTGTGATTGCAAAATATCAAGCTGGTCATCTAGATCTGAAGATAACTCGTTTTTTAAAATTTCAAAAATTTCAATTCGAGGAATTTGCAAATGATCTTTTTGTGAACCTTAGATAATAATTGAAAATATAATAATTGAAAAAATCATAAAAACATTATAACTTTACTAAACTAATTAAAAATAAAATAAAAAGTAATCGATAATATATTATTTTATATAAATTCGATATATAAGAGAAAGGTAAAATATACTGTTAATCATATGATTGTATATAGATATAGTTATTATGTTTTTTGAGAAACTGATTTTGTAAAATTTAGTAAAACTATACAAAAATCGTCGTAGCTGAGGTAAAAAAGATGTTGTAACCGAGGGGGAAACATAATAACTATACAATTTGACTGATTTTGTAAAGAAAACAAAACACCGCCATTTTGTTTACTAAAAAACACGACTAGCACTACACAATATAAGTTAATGAAGTAATAGGCAAAAATAGGTGCCTTTTCTTTTAACCAATCTTTAGAATACACTTTTATGAACAATATCCAAATTATAACTAAACGGAATCTCGCGGGTTCACTACTTTTTCAATGCTTGAAAAATAGGTTAAAGAAAATAAATAAACTTTATTTTGTACTTTTTTGTTCGCACTTTTCGCATAAAATTTAGAGAAATAATATAAAACTTTTTACTAAAATATTATATAAATACCTTGAATAGTATCGTCCATAGTTAGTTTTTTAGTAACGATAAATAACTTTTTTGTAAACGATACTTATTTAACCACATTTTTTTTTTGTTTTTAAAACGCCAATTAAGTGTTTTTAATAACAGATGTTTAACTGCGTAGATATAGGTAACTTTAAAATTTATACAATTTTTTCTTATACAACAAAATGCAACAGGGTTTTGTTTATGTAGTTTCAAAATAATAAATTCAAAATAGTGATTTTTTTTTTTGACTTTTGCCCAGCTTTTTTGAAAATTAGCCCACTGTGCATCGTTTAAAACTCGCGTTCGGCTAACGGTAGCTTAGTAATTAAACTTCATTGTTAATTTGCGCATAGTTTTGCTTTAGTGAAATGTGCAAAAACGATTTAATTTTATTAAAAAAATTTCGAAAATAACAAAATGTTTTTAATCCTTAAAACCTAATAATAAAATTTATAAAAAGTTCCATATATGTATAAAAAAAAAAAATATCGCGTATTTACAATATTATATATATATATATATATATATATATATATATATATATATATATATATATATATATATATATATATATATATATATATATATATATATATTTGTTATTAAATATGTATCAAGTCTAAGTTTTCTATAGCGTATAGTTGAATTTTAAAGACATTCATAGCCTTTCCGCCCTTTATTTAGCCTTATTTTTATCGTTAGTAATGAATTTCAATTACTTTGGACAAAAGTTTAGATTTAATAAAAGTTAATGGAAATTTATTATGTCATTATATAAAGATATATATAAATATATATCATAGGCAAAAGCGTGACATTTTAGTAGGGACCAAAGCACAATAAAAAAATAAAATAAAAAAAAAATCATAATATACATAGTAATAGTTGAAATATTTTTCAACTAAAAACCTTCTTAAAAAAGGATACTACTAAACAATTAGGGGGGAAGGGAGGTCATGCCCACCACGGCTCCCCTTTTTGTTTCCTTCCGTGGGCCCATATACATATCTATCTATCTAACAATATATAAATTCCAACAAACTGCAAAAAATACAAATACTTTTTTTTAAACATACTTCTTTAACAATAAATTTACACTATAGTTATTTTATTTGCTTAGTAATGTTTTTAACAGAATTGTGGCTTGAAAAAAGCCTAGTTTTTGAAGTAAATAAAACTGTGACATCCATAGAAGGAGTCGAATCTTTAGTACGCGATGGAAACCATATATAATGATATCTAAAATAAAATAAACCTCTCAATTAATACAGCCATACCTTTTTAATTAGGATACCCTGTGTCCCGGATAATAAATAAATATATAACTGTTATCACAGAAAAATAAAAATACATTAGATATTTAGCACAATAACTGAAAAATACATTAACAAACATAATCAATCTCTAAATAAATATGATCTAACCGATTTAATATTGAAATGAAGAAGATCAACAAACATCAAAGCAAGCGTGCAGTACTCATCACGTTGTGTAACCTTGCAATTATAGATAAGATAAAATATATTTAAGAGATATAAAATTAAAAAAAAAATTAAAAATATCGTGACTTGCAAGCAATTACTGTATAATAAATTAACATTTAACTGTTAATTACTGCAAAATAAATTAATATCTAACTATAATAACATCTTACTGAATTATAAAATATAATCTTGAGGACTTTAAGACAGTAGCAAATTGCAATCTTTTAGCATGCTATTAGTTAAAACCTTGCAATAACAGATAAATAAAAATACATTAGATATTTAACACAATAACTGAAAAACCCATTACAAAATAGAGAAGAGGAGAATGGTTTCCTATATAAAAAACAAAAAACAAAATCACCTAACTCTTGATACACAACACATTTTACTATTACAAAACAGAAAAAACATTAAAAGTTGATCCTTCAATACTGTACAAAAAAGAAAAAGATACCTGTTTCAGATGTAAAGTCTTGAAACAAACCATTTTGCAGACATTCACATAATGTCAAGCCAGAACACAAAAATATCTTCAATATGGAATAATTATAGATCAAAGTACCACATGTGTAAAAAAGCATATGTATTCTGTTCCCTCTATAGCGTGGTAGCAATCTTCTGGGCAACTCGTGTTGGTCCAAAAAGAACCCAAAACCCTTTGGATCACTTATGAATAACATAAAGAAAGTTAGTTGGCTATTGCAAGGAGAATGTGAAATAAAAACATGCAATAGTTATAATATTTATTTTAGTTTAACTCAATTAAAAACAATTTTATTCACAAACCTACACTATATTAAAGTAAAAGAGTTATAAATACCTTTTGAATCCTTGTAGCGAAGTTTGTATTGCAGAATTGTGTAGAAAATGAATTGTGTAGTGAATGAAACCAGGAACTAACACACAAGCATGTCGTATATAAGTGTTCTAATATCTGCTGAGTAGTGTTTTTGAGTTTTAGTGTTTTGTGTTACTTGCTGAATTTTCTCCAACTCTTCCTGTAAAATCAGTATCAATGTCATTTTGCAGTACAAGAATTGCATAATTTTTGTCAGCAAGTTGTTGGTATAAAATTGCCTTTGGATAAGAAAACTTGGTTTCGATTAATGTTAACTGCTGTTTCAAACAAAAAAATTAAATCTCTTTCTCATAACCTTTTTCTGGGACTTAACTAGTCAGCTCTCTAACTGGATAGTGGTTCATGAGAAGAGGTTTCTATAGCAGGACCAGATAAAAGAGATAAGTGACCACTGTTTGATACAGATAAAACACTGATTTGTTGAAAAGGAAATGAAGAACATATAGCAATGTGAATTGAGGTTGCAATTGATTGCGATGTTTGCGCCATAGCAGATGTTATTATTTGTATGCACAGAGCATGTTGCAGATGTCAATAAATTGTTTTGAATCTCGTGAAAAATGGTTTACAAAGTTTTTTGATGTTTTAACTAGTTGCAGAATCTAATTAGTACAAACTTTGATGTTAAAATACTTATTGATTTCTTCTACAGTTACTTTATATGAATCCTTGTTAGTTGCCAATATATGCAGTAGGCGTCCATTGCTACAACCAATATTTAAATGAGCTGGTAGTGTAAAACTACAAGTTAACTAACTTTTAGCTTTACCATCAAGTAGAAATGTTTCCTTTTTAGGTCCCACGATGCACTAAATCAAACAATCATAATACAACTATTTAATTGGGTTGGCTTTTAAACACAACTAACTAATTTAAAAAATTACTATTAACCTATAAAAAAATGTGTAGATACATTTATTATTATTCGCATAGATAAAACATGTATATAATTTTTATGTATCATAGAGCTTAAGGTGGTTATATAGTAAATTCTGGGTATGGAAAAAAGCTGAGAAAATGCTGTTTTTGTTTTTAATATTTTTTTTCGCATTTTATGCTGAATCCCCATATAAAAGTGTCATTTGATTTTTATTTCACCATATTAATTTTTTTTTAGGAGAACTTTGCCTTCAAGGCAAAGTTCTGCCAAAGATAATTTGAATTACTTACTCTTTTCACACGCCGAAATTAGTTTCAAAGCAGCCTTGAAGCTGATTTTGATGTGTGAAAAGAGTAAGCAATAAAAAATATATACAATAAATAACACAATAAATGATTATACAATTATTTAAAAAAATCAACAGTATTCTTAGTAATAAATGACTATTTAAAAAAAGTAAAACTTTTTAATGAAAGTTCTTATAAAATATTTCATTATTATGAATAGAAAAACAAGTATACTGAATGCTCACTGGCTAACACCAACGAAATGCCCTCCCCCCCGCCTTAAACTATGTAACGGAAGTGGAAATACATACCTCCACTCCACGATAAAATAGGATGTCTGGTCATAAATATTTTTTAATGAAATTTGGCAGGCACATAGAAAATAGATTTATACAGTTGCCTGGAAAATTTAAAAAGTGTACCAACATACCTTCAATATTTATGCACCTCCGGAACAGAAATAAAATTTTAAAACTGAATAAAAATCACTGGTAATTGTAAAAAAAACAACAGAATTTATAACAAGAAGTAACAGTAACAGTAGCAGAAACAGTTTAATAAAGTGTAACAGTAACAGTAACAGTAAAAAGGGTAGAAATTGAACTTCCACTGGATCAAAAACTACGTTATGTGGTCATGAATATTTTTAAATTGTATTTTGCAGGCACATAGAAAATTGATTTATACAGTTGACTAGAAAATTTCAAAAATGTACCAACATGCCTTCCATATGAATGCACTTCCAGAAAAGGAACGAAATTTTAAATAGCAATAAAATAAGTGAAAAATTTATTAACCATAAAAAAAACACATAATTTATTCAACATTAAAAATTCGACTTTTTTAATAAAGTCTGAGTTGATATAAATTTTTTTAAAAAAGACAAATAAATACATCCTTACCATACCGACTTCGAGCACGCTGTGAAAAAAAAGGTTACAGTTTTTAACTTTGAAATCGGTGCCGTAAAAAGCCAGATACGCACGTACCTATTACTTGTACAATTGTTATAAGTACTATTATTATAAGAGTTTCTGCTAAATCTGCTATTATCTATATTAATATAGCTCTTACATTACCAATATTGATTGTTTCTATCATTATGATATTTACCAGAAAATTTATACTGTATAGTTATATTTTGTTACTAATATTAATAATAATTTCAATAATTTATATAGTTATTATTACTTTTTATTTTATTATTTATTATTATTTAGGTACGTGCGTATCTGGCTTTTTACGGCACCGATTTCAAAGTTAAAAACTGTAACCTTTTTTTTCACAGCGTGCTCGAAGTCGGTATGGTAAGGATGTATTTATTTGTCTTTTTTAAAAAAATTTATATCAACTCAGACTTTATTAAAAAAGTCGAATTTTTAATGTTGAATAAATTATGTGTTTTTTTTAGGGTTAATAAATTTTTCACTTATTTTATTGCTATTTAAAATTTCGTTCCTTTTCTGGAAGTGCATTCATATGGAAGGCATGTTGGTACATTTTTGAAATTTTCTAGTCAACTGTATAAATCAATTTTCTATGTGCCTGCAAAATACAATTTAAAAATATTCATGACCACATAACGTAGTTTTTGATCCAGTGGAAGTTCAATTTCTACCCTTTTTACTGTTACTGTTACTGTTACACTTTATTAAACTGTTTCTGCTACTGTTACTGTTACTTCTTGTTATAAATTCTGTTGTTTTTTTTACAATTACCAGTGATTTTTATTCAGTTTTAAAATTTTATTTCTGTTCCGGAGGTGCATAAATATTGAAGGTATGTTGGTACACTTTTTAAATTTTCCAGGCAACTGTATAAATCTATTTTCTATGTGCCTGCCAAATTTCATTAAAAAATATTTATGACCAGACATCCTATTTTATCGTGGAGTGGAGGTATGTATTTCCACTTCCGTTACATAGTTTAAGGCGGGGGGGAGGGCATTTCGTTGGTGTTAGCCAGTGAGCATTCAGTATACTTGTTTTTCTATTCATAATAATGAAATATTTTATAAGAACTTTCATTAAAAAGTTTTACTTTTTTTAAATAGTCATTTATTACTAAGAATACTGTTGATTTTTTTAAATAATTGTATAATCATTTATTGTGTTATTTATTGTATATATTTTTTATTGCTTACTCTTTTCACACATCAAAATCAGCTTCAAGGCTGCTTTGAAACTAATTTCGGCGTGTGAAAAGAGTAAGTAATTCAAATTATCTTTGGCAGAACTTTGCCTTGAAGGCAAAGTTCTCCTAAAAAAAAATTAATATGGTGAAATAAAAATCAAATGACACTTTTATATGGGGATTCAGCATAAAATGCGAAAAAAAATATTAAAAACAAAAACAGCATTTTCTCAGCTTTTTTCCATACCCAGAATTTACTATATAACCACCTTAAGCTCTATGATACATAAAAATTATATACATGTTTTATCTATGCGAATAATAATAAATGTATCTACACATTTTTTTATAGGTTAATAGTAATTTTTTAAATTAGTTAGTTGTGTTTAAAAGCCAACCCAATTAAATAGTTGTATTATGATTGTTTGATTTAGTGCATCGTGGGACCTAAAAAGGAAACATTTCTACTTGATGGTAAAGCTAAAAGTTAGTTAACTTGTAGTTTTACACTACCAGCTCATTTAAATATTGGTTGTAGCAATGGACGCCTACTGCATATATTGGCAACTAACAAGGATTCATATAAAGTAACTGTAGAAGAAATCAATAAGTATTTTAACATCAAAGTTTGTACTAATTAGATTCTGCAACTAGTTAAAACATCAAAAAACTTTGTAAACCATTTTTCACGAGATTCAAAACAATTTATTGACATCTGCAACATGCTCTGTGCATACAAATAATAACATCTGCTATGGCGCAAACATCGCAATCAATTGCAACCTCAATTCACATTGCTATATGTTCTTCATTTCCTTTTCAACAAATCAGTGTTTTATCTGTATCAAACAGTGGTCACTTATCTCTTTTATCTGGTCCTGCTATAGAAACCTCTTCTCATGAACCACTATCCAGTTAGAGAGCTGACTAGTTAAGTCCCAGAAAAAGGTTATGAGAAAGAGATTTAATTTTTTTGTTTGAAACAGCAGTTAACATTAATCGAAACCAAGTTTTCTTATCCAAAGGCAATTTTATACCAACAACTTGCTGACAAAAATTATGCAATTCTTGTACTGCAAAATGACATTGATACTGATTTTACAGGAAGAGTTGGAGAAAATTCAGCAAGTAACACAAAACACTAAAACTCAAAAACACTACTCAGCAGATATTAGAACACTTATATACGACATGCTTGTGTGTTAGTTCCTGGTTTCATTCACTACACAATTCATTTTCTACACAATTCTGCAATACAAACTTCGCTACAAGGATTCAAAAGGTATTTATAACTCTTTTACTTTAATATAGTGTAGGTTTGTGAATAAAATTGTTTTTAATTGAGTTAAACTAAAATAAATATTATAACTATTGCATGTTTTTATTTCACATTCTCCTTGCAATAGCCAACTAACTTTCTTTATGTTATTCATAAGTGATCCAAAGGGTTTTGGGTTCTTTTTGGACCAACACGAGTTGCCCAGAAGATTGCTACCACGCTATAGAGGGAACAGAATACATATGCTTTTTTACACATGTGGTACTTTGATCTATAATTATTCCATATTGAAGATATTTTTGTGTTCTGGCTTGACATTATGTGAATGTCTGCAAAATGGTTTGTTTCAAGACTTTACATCTGAAACAGGTATCTTTTTCTTTTTTGTACAGTATTGAAGGATCAACTTTTAATGTTTTTTCTGTTTTGTAATAGTAAAATGTGTTGTGTATCAAGAGTTAGGTGATTTTGTTTTTTGTTTTTTATATAGGAAACCATTCTCCTCTTCTCTATTTTGTAATGGGTTTTTCAGTTATTGTGTTAAATATCTAATGTATTTTTATTTATCTGTTATTGCAAGGTTTTAACTAATAGCATGCTAAAAGATTGCAATTTGCTACTGTCTTAAAGTCCTCAAGATTATATTTTATAATTCAGTAAGATGTTATTATAGTTAGATATTAATTTATTTTGCAGTAATTAACAGTTAAATGTTAATTTATTATACAGTAATTGCTTGCAAGTCACGATATTTTTAATTTTTTTTTTAATTTTATATCTCTTAAATATATTTTATCTTATCTATAATTGCAAGGTTACACAACGTGATGAGTACTGCACGCTTGCTTTGATGTTTGTTGATCTTCTTCATTTCAATATTAAATCGGTTAGATCATATTTATTTAGAGATTGATTATGTTTGTTAATGTATTTTTCAGTTATTGTGCTAAATATCTAATGTATTTTTATTTTTCTGTGATAACAGTTATATATTTATTTATTATCCGGGACACAGGGTATCCTAATTAAAAAGGTATGGCTGTATTAATTGAGAGGTTTATTTTATTTTAGATATCATTATATATGGTTTCCATCGCGTACTAAAGATTCGACTCCTTCTATGGATGTCACAGTTTTATTTACTTCAAAAACTAGGCTTTTTTCAAGCCACAATTCTGTTAAAAACATTACTAAGCAAATAAAATAACTATAGTGTAAATTTATTGTTAAAGAAGTATGTTTAAAAAAAAGTATTTGTATTTTTTGCAGTTTGTTGGAATTTATATATTGTTAGATAGATAGATATGTATATGGGCCCACGGAAGGAAACAAAAAGGGGAGCCGTGGTGGGCATGACCTCCCTTCCCCCCTAATTGTTTAGTAGTATCCTTTTTTAAGAAGGTTTTTAGTTGAAAAATATTTCAACTATTACTATGTATATTATGATTTTTTTTTTATTTTATTTTTTTATTGTGCTTTGGTCCCTACTAAAATGTCACGCTTTTGCCTATGATATATATTTATATATATCTTTATATAATGACATAATAAATTTCCATTAACTTTTATTAAATCTAAACTTTTGTCCAAAGTAATTGAAATTCATTACTAACGATAAAAATAAGGCTAAATAAAGGGCGGAAAGGCTATGAATGTCTTTAAAATTCAACTATACGCTATAGAAAACTTAGACTTGATACATATTTAATAACAAATATATATATATATATATATATATATATATATATATATATATATATATATATATATATATATATATATATATATATATAATATTGTAAATACGCGATATTTTTTTTTTTTATACATATATGGAACTTTTTATAAATTTTATTATTAGGTTTTAAGGATTAAAAACATTTTGTTATTTTCGAAATTTTTTTAATAAAATTAAATCGTTTTTGCACATTTCACTAAAGCAAAACTATGCGCAAATTAACAATGAAGTTTAATTACTAAGCTACCGTTAGCCGAACGTGAGTTTTAAACGATGGTTGCATTTTTCTTAAGCAATCCTTCATAAGAAATAATGTTACTTAAATGGTCATAACTTTTTTTTTAATTATTCTTTTTTCATAAAATTTTCACCATTGAATTACAAATTCAAAACTCTTTCGTACCATATATAATACTTATATAAACAAATGGTTTGAAATTTTTACACACATACCTACATATTATGTATTAACTTCACTGGCAATTTTAAGGGTGACTGATACAAACGAAATAAATAAATTATATAATAGCTTAATTTCTTTTATAATATATTTTGTATAATTAATTATAATATAAATTATATAATAGCTTACTTTCAAACAATTTTCCAACAACAAGATCAGCTATTTATTTACTTGTTATTAAACTCACGTGCGCACGTGATATCATGTTATGTTTTAAATATTTTTTTCCATTTGCGAACGGAAAAAAATATTCAAAACATAAATATAATATGTGCGCATGCGTTAATTTTCAGCCGCAGAAGCAATTTTTACTTGTTTACAGAATTTTCAGCCGCAGAAGATTTATCCATTATCAATATATTCTGTATTAAATTTATCTTTTTTCTGTATTAAATTTATTTATAAGATTATCCATTATCAATATATTCTGTATTAAAAATAAGTCATCAAAAACATTAAATATTTTACACGTTAATTTTATTACTTTAAATGCAATTTAGTTTTTAATTTTATTTAAATTGTAGCTAACGATGAAACAAGTTTTAAGTTTTATTTACTTGGTCTTACTACTTTTTAATACTTTTTCGCATATCTTCCAGCCATCTTGAAAATAATTGTTGTTTTTTGTACGGCAAAGTAGTATGAATGTAAGCAACTTGAATTTCACATCCATAGCATGAGAATTTCTTGATATCATAATGATATCATAATATGAGTTCATAAATCAAAACTTTTGATATAAAAAGAGAAAAACTATACTTTTACTGTGCTATGTAACTATTATATGAAATTCTGCTATGAATTAAGTTTATTTCTCAAAGTTATCATTATATCATTAATATATCATTATATGATATCATAGAAGGTTTTGATATCATTCTGATATCACATTGATATCGCGTCTTGACTGGCCTAACCATTACGCCGTGGTTGTTTTTGATTTTATAATTTTTAATTTCATATTTGAGCCTGTTAATTTATTTTAAATTAATATTTTCCAACTTTTCATTAAATTTTTTAAATGCCACTAGTTACACTTTTTCTTCTTTTGAAAAGAAGCATAAATGGCATTTATACATATCTCTCTCTATACAACTAAGTTGTTTTTTTTAGAGCATCCAAACGACAATACAGCTTTAGAATTCTTCCAAATTTGTGAGCGTGACTGATTTTATGCGATGTAAGTTGTTGCACACAATTTTTTATGTCATATTACTACCCACCCAGTTTTACACTCTCGTGCAACAAGAATTAATTTCGCAGTTTTCATGGCAGATAACATGCTACTTCACAGTTTAACATACTGTTTCACAGCCTAAGGTTTAATTCTAATTAAAGATTAAAGTTTATCATGCATAACCATTCAATATTTTAAAAAATAATTCAACTTAAAATGAAACTAAAAATTTAAAGCTTATAGCCTAAATTTTATTTATAAAGTTATTTATATAATTGTATTACGATTTATATAATTGTAAACTGTAACACGATATAAAAAAATAATAATAATATTTTATTATAAAGTGTTACTCAACATTAGTTAATGGTTCAAAAATAATTTCATTTATACTCTAAACATGTTAATGGGGCAGGTCTGCCCGTGGTTGGCTTGATGTAAACTAGGCCGCCACAGCCGAGATGAAATTTATAATACCGATATTTTTTTGAATCGAAACTGAACTATGGATTGAGTAGAGTAATTTTTGTATTTAATTTGAATTTTATTTCGAGCTTTTTTTTTTTTTTGCATATAGTGCTTTACCATAATCCAATTAAAAAATTGCTTTTGTAATTGTTTTTGTTGTTTTTCAAAAAATTAGCAAATCAAATATTAAGCTGTTCCTTAGGAAACAAAGTTTCAGCATTTTTGAAATTATTTAGTAAAAAATCTCAGTGAAAAATTGGCTTTAAAACTTATTAATCAAACAATTGAATTCAGAAACTTTAATTTTACAATTATTTGGTAATATATAAAATAAATTACAAAACGAAAGTATTTAAGCTTCGAACCCGTTTCGGTTTCTAATTACTTCATTAAAACAAGTTCTGACATTTCTGACAAACAAGTTTAGAATTTAGAGGGAATAACACTGTCTACACCTTTCGGACGAATTCTACTAAAAATATAGTGTCACAATAAGGTACGATGTATGCTGTGTTTTTAATTTTTAAATATTTACATAGTTTCTAATTATATGAATTTTTTCTACGTTTTATTTTTTTTATTATTATTATATTTTTTTTGTACCGACTTATCTTCTTTTTAAATTTTTTTTAAAGTAAATAATTTAAAAGAGCTGTCATTTAAAAAATATGGGTGAGTCTGATGGCACGCACATTTTCGCACGTTTTAAAAAAATTTTTAAGTTAGGTTTTTAATATGAAATCTTTCACAAACAAAAAATGTTTATAACCTTAAGTCATATATTTTGAGATCAATTTAATTTTTTTAATCAATTATAATAAAAATAAATAAAATTACTTAAACATAATTAAACTTTTATTCTAAAAACAAACAAAAACGTGCCAAATGATAAAATAAACATTAAGGAATACTTATTTTTTGAATTAAAATATTGCCTGCCCAAGCCAAAACTCTCGTCATTGTATTTGTACTACATTGTGTCTATCCCTAGATAAGCAGTCAATATGTATATACACTACGGTGCGCATGTTCTTCAAAAGTCAGTCAGTCAACGAAACTACTGCGTTAGTACTCCACTGCGCTAGTTTAATTTGAAAATTAAAAACCAATAATAATAAATCTAATTTTTTTAAATTGGCTTTAAATTTGATGATCTTGAGCTTTTTTTTAATTAAATGAGCAAATAGACTATAAGTAAATATACGTGAAAAATGTGCGAATAGACACTCCGAAAAGATATTTAAAAGATAATTGTTGAATAAAGTATTGCGAACTATTTTATTTGAACTATTTTGTTCCATAAAAATGGTCTGCAAAAAGTAATGCAAGGTTCAGGGCCGTCCCGAAGAGAACTTCTATGATGGGGGGGGGGGGGGGTGTGTATGCATTTTTTTGCCAACTAAAAACACCAAAAAAAAAAAAAAGGTCCTCAATATTTCCAATTTGCCAACTATAGTTTAAAACTTGCTCAATGTGCCAACTCAAATGTATAAATAACTGCTATGGGGGGGGGGGGGACACCCCGACACCCTCCCCGGGACAGCCCTGGCAAGGTTAACTAAGATTTATTTCAAAAAATGGCTGCCTAATAAAGTTATGGTTTAACAAAATGTACTTATTAAAGTTATTAAACCTAATAAAATTATCATTAAATAAAATGTACCTATTTTTATCTTTTAATAAATACAAATCATTAAAAGTTATCGCGGAAGAAATGATTTTACAATTGAATATAAAACAAACAAAAAAATTAACAGTAAGTTAGTATAAAATTAGTGCATCCATTTTTCTTGATAGAAGCTTTGCTTCTTTTCTTTGCATTTTAATGGGGGAAAGGGGTTGACGTATCTGTTTTTTGCCGACTAAAGACAAAAAAAATTTTTGTCGACTAACTTATCTAAAAAAAAATTCCTCGTTGGCCAACATTTGCCGACTGCTAACTATAGATCCATATTCATTGATTCCAGTATCCAATTTGCCTACAAATAAAATTCGAGAACGAGAATTTTTTCAAAAACGTCAAAATATATTTTTTGTAAAAAACCATAATATATAAAAAAGCGAAATCGTAAATCATTTCGAAAAAAAAGAAATAGTGCAAAAAGCTATGGAAATTTAAAAGACTCAAAGCATTTGGTCGTTTATTTTCTGATAAATAGAATTCTGGTCATCATAGACACATCGTGGACTAAACAAAACAAAGCTAAACTAAAGAGACTTATCAACAGCCAAAAAGGGGTAAGTTGGATTTTAAATTCGATGCAGATAACGTGACTTCCATATATACCATTGAACAACAAGTAAAAGCAAAGAAAACGAAGCATAAAACTTTATCAATTCTATAGCACGAAACCACTTTTATTTATTGATGAAGATAAATATTTTGGTTTTGGATGTGATAAAATATAGATTAGCTGGATACTACACAGAAATCAAAGAAACATGTAAAGAAAGTGTTCGCTTTGTAGGAAAAGTTTTTCAAAAAGAACTATTGATGTAGATTGCGCTTCTAGTTGTGTATGTAATTTGTATCCTTGGAAACAATGGTTGTCGTTCTAAGCAATTGTTTCGAACTTTCAAGGTTGTAGGAACCAATACATCAATCTGTTTGGATGACTATTTAGAAACACAACTATTTCTATTCATTTACAAGTGTCGTGTCAAGTTCACTAACTATTTTGGCTAGATTAAGCAATTTATTACTATTCTAAAAATTCTCTAAATTCCATGGTTGAACATTTCAATTATCTTGATAAGGAACCCAAATGTGTCTCAGGCACTACAAATTGAGAACTGTTGAGAGCATTTATAGCTGGCTTCATCATAAAAACACTTTTATATAGCTAGCTTCATCAAAAAAAGACTGGATTAATTGCATCAAATTAAAACTAAACGAAATTGGTTTAAATTTTTTACAGTTCACTACAAATGGCGTCAAAGCCAAATTGAGATCTATTGCAGATGATGGAGTTTTTTAATTTAAAAAAAATTACTGATTTTTATTGACAAATAGAATAATAAAACATCATAAACAAATATTTAATTTAGAAAAAAATTCAAATAGTTTTTCTTTATTTATTAATGAGACATTTAAAAATTTTATTTTGTCCTTTAAGCAATAATAAACTTATGCATCAACCATTACAAGCTTTTGATGACGATAAAGAGATTCAAGTGGTTTTTATTGATGCAAGTCTATGCAAAATTTTTAATAATAATATTGCTATGAACAAAAGGGAAAAATATTTTTGTTACTTAAATTTTCAATGTGAGTTTTTCAAAGAGAGTCCAATTAGTTTTTGTATTGTTAGTGATAGTTTATATTTTACCATTAAGAAATTTTGTTGAATTCAAAGTTCATACAATGCAATGATGTTATTATAAGATAAAAATTGATTTTTCTGCAAAAAAAAAAAAATTTAAATCTTGATACGCTGTAAATATCGGTAGGATAAAATATATGAGTAAAAACAACCATTTATTCATTTTAAGACATAATATAAAAAAATTATTCCAACTAAAATGAGTATAAATTCTGTTATATATAATTCTTTCTAGAACTTTTGATTTGCTTGAAATTCCTTAAACGATAATTCAAAAGAATATTAACTAATGATATTGAATACTTTTTTTAAATTTTCTTCGAATGTTTATCTAATTAAGACAAAAAAGATTTGTTTAGTTCAATTGCTATTTTATGCGAATCACATATGATTTATTCATTAATTTAAAAATCTTTTTTCAAAGTACATGATTTAAATATAGTGTTACCAGTTTATTTCTTCTAAAAATGTAAAATTATGCAATTTTAAAGTTCTAAAAAATGACTCCCAATAAAGCCTTCAAACCATCACTATTTAAGTTGGGAGTTACTATTATATTGTCACGTTCATATGCTTGAAAAAAAAAAAATGCTTTTAGAGTTTCTTTTTTCATCCTACTTTACACTTACAGTTCTGCAAATGGCGTATATGAGATGTGTGTGTGTGGAGGAGAGGGGTTAGGAAGTTAGTTATTAAAATTAGGAGACACTAAGTAAAAAAGGTGCCATAAAATTGTTGAGTAGGTAGGTTAAAAGTCTAGGTACTTTTAGAGAGTTGGAAGGTACTCAAAATAGCGTATTGCGAAATTCGGAGAAAGGTGGGGGGGGGGGGTTAGCGTCGAAATAAAAGCGTACATACTTTATGGACAACTCCTTTATCTTTATATACAAAGTTAAAACGTCCCATGACAATACTTTTAATTACAATTGTCATTAAACAACCGTTAAACATATGTCATAAATGTATGTGAGTATGTGACTTTCAACACACTTATCTACGTGATCTCTAATACGTATAATTACAACTCACCAACTTTACAATAAAACAGTTACTAAAAAGCAAAAAATATTGTTAAAGATAATGGTTGACTGAAGACTTAAAAAACTAAAAAAGGTTTTTAGAGCATAAAGGGACAGTTACAGTAGTAGGATTACAGATACAGTAAAAGTCGGACAAAATTGTGTATTCGTTTATGCAACAACAGGTAATAGCTCGTTTAAGCAGCAAACAAGGTTCAAATTTGGCAGCTAAACCAGGTCCAATAAAATTTGATATGCCTTTTTGGACTTTATTTAGAAGATAAAGGGTTTTATTAAAAGAAAGACACTAATATGACAAGAGTGTTTAATATAAGGAAAAATAAGAAATTTGACTAAAAGTAGAGAATTGAATCGGGAGTAAGGAAATGGCAAGCACAATTAAGAGATGCAACTTTGGCAGACACAAACTTTGCAATTGACTTTATTTATATTGAGAAGTCATAAATGAATGATAATCAAAAAAATAGCGTGGGTGAATCAGTAAGAATACTCTCAGTCATCAAAAAAAAACTCAGTTTTTAAAAAAAAATGTTGCCAAACTTACTAACAATAAAAAAGAGTTATTGTTAAAAATCTTAGGCTCCAGCAAGTCCTAAGCTGTCCAAGCTTATAACGTTTTTCAAATATATGAAAATAGTGTGAAAAGATATAAGCTGTCCAAAAAAGAAGAAATTTTAAAAATCTTTAACATTGTCATTAATTAAGGCAATTTTAAGATTTCACATTTCAAAGCATGTTATTATCTTGTTATCTTTCATAAGGATAAAACAATACTAATTCCAAAAATTTTCCTTTAAATTGTCTTTTAAATCTAATGACACAAAACTCCGGTTATCTCAAAGAAGCAGGTTTTTCCCTTAAAATAACAATATCTAATATCTAATAATAATACCTTATTAAATCACTCCGGTTTCCATTACTTTTCTCTTAAAGTTTTCCACTGCTTGTGGTACAGACAAAACTTTTATCATATTCTTACAAAATTGTTTTTGTAAAACACTTTTCAATACTCTTTAAACTATTTAATAATTTAATATTTTTTCAAATCATATGAAGCTGATATCTTTTCAAATCATATGAAGCGAGCTTACACGGAATAACAGAATGCCAGACTTTATCATAAATTTTAGATAATCTAAGAGCAAAATTCCTTTTATCTTCTCTTTTACATGATGGAATCTTTCTGTTATAGCAGTTAACAAGTCAACTGTAAACCGAGATGATCACAATATTAGAAGTATTTTAATGAAAAATTCAAATACTTTGGTAATAATAAAAAAAAAAATGGTTTGACGATATTTAGAAATAGGGTTGCTAGAAGTTCGGTTTTTACGTTGAAAATGCAGTGACAAAGCTATAATAATAATAAATTTTGCTGTGTTCTTCTTTGTAAAAGCGAGACAAGTGCCAACACTATTTAGAGGGGTTAGAAAATTATTCAGAATTTTTTGAAATTTGAAACCACTGATACTATTCTTCAGAGGAACGAGAACAAGATTTAGAAAATTATTAAATAATTTTCCAGAGGAACAAGAAAAAGATTCAGAAAATTATTAAATAGTTTAAAGAGTATTGAAAAGTGTTTTACAAAAACAATTTTGTAAGAATATGATAAAAGTTTTGTCTGTACCACAAGCAGTGGAAAACTTTAAGAGAAAAGTAATGGAAACCGGAGTGATTTAATAAGGTATTATTATTAGATATTAGATATTGTTATTTTAAGGGAAAAACCTGCTTCTTTGAGATAACCGGAGTTTTGTGTCATTAGATTTAAAAGACAGTTTAAAGGAAAATTTTTGGAATTAGTATTGTTTTATCCTTATGAAAGATAACAAGATAATAACATGCTTTGAAATGTGAAATCTTAAAATTGCCTTAATTAATGACAATGTTAAAGATTTTTAAAATTTCTTCTTTTTAAAACTAAACTTCTTAGATAAAATACGATGTTTGCTAAACTGAGAGTAGTGGAACTTAGTATCAAACAACACAAATTTGCATTGAAATTTTTTAACAATAAGACGTTTGATTTTTATAATCTATTATACAAAAGAGTTGTTCTTGTGTAAGAGATCATAAAAGAAGCAACTTCATAAGTTAAAAACTATAGGGTAGAATCAGGTTCAACTTAAAAATTAAGAGAAAGAATAAAAGACATCATCCCAAGGACCATCATAAAGTAAATTATGAAAAAAATCCCAGGTAGAAGTAAAAAATGCAATGAAAGGGTGAGTCTTAAAAAAAAGTCCAAGATAAAACCTTTAGAGAAATCAATGACTCGGTACTGTCTGCCTAAAGAAGAACAAAGAGAAACTTAGCACAAACTAAGGTCAGAGACATGACAAAAATCATAAAGTGAAGCTAAGTAATTAGGAGTTTCTGAAAAATAAGTCACAAAGTTAAGTACTGGATTCAATTCTAAAAATTATTCAGAACTCAATTTTAATGGTTCCTATTTTTAAACACCACATCTTATTAGTTATAATTCCTAATTTTAAACACCGCATCTTATTAAACCACTTTTGTCTTTTTACCTTTTGTTGTAGTTCTTTACCTTCTATAAAAAATGCTTTTTAACATCCATTGTTCTTTTGCTATAAGTTTTATTTATGCCACAATAAACATTATTGTGCATTGTTGGACGCGTTTGAGAGAGAAGTTTGCAAATAAAAAACTGTAGTATAGTTTAATGTACAGCTGGTACAATTTTTTCCATAGCTGGAGAGCTCTGACACCGAAATGATATTTTGAGACATCCAAGCATTTCATTACTATTCTAAGCTTCTGCTTTTACTTTTACTTTAATTTTGTTAGATATTAGTACTCCAAGGTCACGCTAAATGCATATTGGAATTAAATGGTGTTCGTTACTGTAATGTTAACCATTTTATTACTATTTAGTAAACTTTGCACATTTCGACGTTGAACTTTACAAGGCAGTTGTTCCATCAATTTACAGTGCTGTCAGTGTCCGCTTGCAGTTTTTTATAATTTGATAAAAATTTATTAACATTGATAACTTAAATAGTGTTGCTACAAAAAACAAATCAATTTTCATTAGCGTATAATTTGGATTAAATCAGGTTTGTTAGCGATCTTTGTGAAGTACAAATTCATGTTAAGACTTTGATATTGAATTGTGCACAGTATTTCATAATCCAATCTATGATAATGCTCTCCGTAACCTTGCACAGGATAGGTGAGAGACACCAGCTTGTAGTTATAAGCCATAACTTTATTTTCTTTTTTGAAAATGCGTGACATTTGATTTGCGTTGAGATTTTAGAATTGCTTAGGGACAAGGCTAAATTCAGCATTCTAGTCTTCTAGATTGTAACCCCTCAAACTAAGGGGGATTTAAAGTTTATATGGTCATAATTTTTAAACGCCAAAATACTTTACTATAAAATTTAAAATTTATCAATGAATATAAATCTAGTTAGAAATAGTACAAAAAAAATATTTTATCAACTTGTTGCTCTAACTTTAGGGGTAGGGGGAGGCAAAAATTTTGGGTTTTTTGTTCCCAGGCTTCAATCATCGTAATTTTTTGCAAAGCATCCTTATTTGACATATGTATAAACATATAAATGTTTGGAGTTTGCTTCATGTCTGGAAATTATATCAAAGACCAGTAAATGCTGAATCCGACCCTGCTGAGAGAGTTGTGAAACCTTAGCAAATAAAGTTAATTAATTTAGTTTATATTTGTTTTACTATTTATAACCAATGAATTTTTTTCAGAATAATAATAAAGCATTTATGAGATTTATAACCAAAATTTTTTGTTTGGATAAGACCTATTGTCTTCTTCAATATCGTCAATATAAAAAACAAGTAAATTTTTTTTTGCCAACCAAAGTAAAGAGATAAATTATTTAAACTATAAATCTTTGGTAGTATAAACAAAACTTGTTATGCACATCACCAAAGAAATTTAGTTTTTACCTTATCAATAAAAACAATTATTTTTACGTTTTTGTAGATATAATCTCATTATAGTTTTTTTTAGTATTGTCTTTTGGTGCCCCTATTATTTTAACGCCAGGGGGATTTATGCTCCTTTTGTCCCTGCCTCTCGGTGGCCCTGTATGTATGTATGTATGTATGTATGTATGTATGTATGTATGTATGTATGTATGTATGTATGTATGTATGTATGTATGTATGTATGTATGTATGTATGTATGTATGTATGTATGTATGTATGTATGTATGTATGTATGTATGTATGTGTTTACGTAAAAGCTCTAGAAGCTTGGAATAAAAAAAATTTTATGAAAATGATTTAATTATAGAATATTTGATTAAAGCCTATATTCAAGAAAAGCAATGCTTTCTAAAAAGGTATGTACAAATTTTTTAGTTGCAATTTGTTTTTATTTGTTAAAAACTTTATACTAAATAACTAAAGTTGAGACTATAAATTAACTAAAAATGAGGTGAAACATTATGTTAACCATGGTCGAGAAAAAACGTTAATTCGAGCATATTTCAAATAGTTTAAATTAAAAAGCTCTTAGAAATAGTTTGTAAAAAACAAAACGGATTGTACTGTTTGCTCCTAAGAGAACTACTAAAGTTTAATTGCATCGGCAGCAGAGCTGCTAAGAGTTTGGTCAGCTTCTTTTACATTCACTTTGTGCGGATGAAATTCAATATTTTTCTTAGACAGTTTGTTGGCACATATGAAACTTTCAAACTCAACCAAAGCTTTAATATAACTCCATTTATTGTAGTACTCATCACCAACATCACCAACATTATTAACATCTAAATCACTAAAATGGCATTAATCTAAGAAATCTTTAGCAGTTGATTGTTAATTAAAAAGTATAAGCTCTATTATCAACGTTTTTGTCAAACAGACATCCAAGTAATAGGAAGAAAATTAGTTGATGAAATATACAAGAATGTGGGAAATTGTAATAAAGATTTTAACCTTTTTTGCTATATTGTTGTATTTGTAACTTTTTGGTTTAATATGGTAGTAAAAAATTGAAAATAAAAAATGAAAAAAAAAAATTTTCTGTTGCAAAGCTACGATCTTTCATTTACGCAATTCAGATCTTTTAGGAAGAAATTTATAACAAGATTTTGTGTCACCTCTTAATTGTTAGAATATATGTTGTTTATATTAAAACTCTTGAACATTTAATGAACCCTAATATCATAACAAACAATGTTTTACAAAAATAGATTAGCTTGGTACTTAAATTAAGCTAAATTATGTAGGGGTTTCAAAAATAACAACAACAAAAAATGTTGATTTTAAAAAAATGCATAGATATGACTTTTTTTTTGTCGTAAAATTAGGGACCCATTAAATGTTCAAGGGTCTTAAGCAACGCCTTAAATAATTTTATATTTAAATTTTTTTAAATCCAATTTTATTTTACTATATCAAACAAATTTGAGTTGTTTAAATTTTTTGGGTTTAGAGATAATGATATTGTAATGTTAATATTATAGTTAAATAAAATGTGCTAATATTATGCAAAAATTTATTTGTGATAATTAATAAAGACTAATTAGGTAAATCAATAAAATTTCCAATAAGTCGTAAACATTAACTTTCAAATTTCTACTAACATTTGAGTAACGAACTTAGCAAACTTTAAACTTCAAAAAATGAGTTTTTTGGGTTTAAAAAACAAAATGTCTGATACACTAGTTCGGAAATCACTAAAAACTGATTTCCGAACTAGTGTATCAGACACTGAGAGAAACTGAGAGTTTTCTGGTTTCAACCATTTCACTATTAATTTTCTCTAATCCAATATTATAGAAAATAATTTTAAATTTAGTGAAAGTGAATTCAAGCTCTTAAGAAACTCAACAAATATTTGTCATTTATCATTTTAATAATTGCTGTTATTTTAAAATATTTTACCACAATAATCTATTTTACCATTAGCTCACGCTTTTAGTTAACTCGATATTATAAATTGGCTCGAGCTTCTTTGAATTATTATCCAAGTTACTAATAGAACAAGATTAAAGGCCAAATAATGTCATTTAAAACACATATTTATTTCAGACATGTTATTCCATAATGATTTAAGTGTTTGGATAAAACTATATTGAATAGACAGTTGAATAATTGTATTATAGTCAAAACTTATCAATCAACAAGTGTCAACCTTAAACATCTTCATTATAAAATTGTGTCTAAAAAACAGAGTTTTAAGTTTAGTTCAGAGGTAAGTTATCTTTTTACAGATAATAATTTAAAAAGTTACTATACTGGTTAAAATTAATCGTAGCATTTAACTTTATTACCAGGTTTACTACACTACTGTACTTTTTCTGCTGCATGTATGGTTTATGCCTGTTATTAATTCAATTTTACGCGATTCTATCAGTGATAATATAAATATGGTGATAATGCAAATATGGTTAAGAGCAGCGTAGTCTATTTTGAGTTCGTAGTTGCTTAGATAGTTCACTAATTTAAAAAAAAAAAGTTTTTATATTCTTTATATAATATACGATTTTAAGACTGCATATATATATATATATATATATATATATATATATATTATATATATATATATATATATATATATATATATATATATATATATATATATATATATATATATATATATATATATATATATAATTGCTTTTTTTGACGAGGTTAAATAAAAAATAACTACATAATTTTTACTACTAAAAGTTTCATGCGTTTAGCATCAGGTAAAAAATACATTGTTTTTTTCGTTAAAAAATATACTCAATAAACATTGTGGCGTTCAAAAACAATTTTAAAATGTTGGTTTTTTAATCTTTGGGCTCGTGGTTGTCAAGCAAGAATTTGTTTTTATGACGATTATATAGCTCTGCATTCTTATCTCTCCGTTAAGCTTAATGGAGCGTTAAGTAGAAAATTTCTTTTTAACTACATTAATAAAAAAGTTCTTTAAAAATATAATTTTTTAAAAATAAATGTTTTATTTTAGTATTAGTTTTATATTTAAAAATTTAAATAAAGTTTTTGTCATTTCTTCACTTAGAAATATTGTAATGAAATTTCAGACAAAAGTTCCCTTAAGCTTAACGGAGAGGTGAGAATACGGCTGCTGATATCATCCATCGAGCACAACATCAACAACAACAATAACAATATATTTACCAGAAAATATTATACAAAGGCGTTAAACAACGTAATACCGACTGGAAGGTTCACTCTCATATAGACTGACTAAAACGAGGAGAGCGACCTTGTAAAAATACAAATTCATAAAGGACAAGGACAAGAAAACAAACAAGTTTCAAAAAATAAATACAAATAAAATAAAAAAAAGTTAATGAAAACAAACCCAAAAAAAGCAAAAAATAGAATAGAATATATACATATATAGATATATCACTGTAACACTATTGGAAAACTATTGTCTCTAATTAAGTGAATTTAAGAAAAACAATTTAAGTTTTTCTTGTAGACTTTTTTCATTTAGTTCACGAAAATGAAAAGTATTTAGCTTACTTTGTAAGAAATTTCAGTCATTAATTATAGAGTTTTTAAAGGAATCTCTACCATAAAATTTTGTTTCAAAAGCTAGAACACACAATCTACCTCTTTGAGACATCCTAGTAGATTAGGTATGAGCATGTATTAATAGAGCAAACCATTCTGTAAATATAGAGAGAACCTTGTTATTAATGCAACTGTGAATAAAAAGACAGTTTTCAATTTTTATGTAGTTAGAAAAATTTATTAATTGGAGTTCCTTGAATGAATCAATTGTGTGGGAGTTATGTAGTAAAAAATTAATTATTCGTATAGCTTTTTTCTGGATAACGGAGAGACGATACTTGATAGAAATGCATTGTCCCCAAGATAAACAACCATAAGTGAGGTGTGAACTAAATAAGGTAAAATATATAGATTTTAATGTTTTTTTGTCAACAAGATGTTGACAAAAACACATTAAAATGTTTTTTTGTCAAGGGAAGAAGGGAGGAAGAAGGGAGTTAAAATTTTTAACTTACGGCGCACAAGTTTTCATTTTCGTGGAGCCACCCAATCCCTCCTCCTTCATCCCCAAAGGAGCTCAGTACGTCTAAGGTACGTATTATTACGCTTATCTACGTGTTTTAGACGTTTAAAAAACATTTCGCGGCTATTAAGTCCATAGCCACAAGACGTGTTTATATTGAAACGTTTTTACTTGTCTTGAGCCCACTGGCATGTCTGGAAAATGATAAATGCTTTTCTAAGGCAAAATGAAGCCAGAATTTATTTGAGCTTTTGTTTTGAGTTACTCACGAAATTACTTCAAATAAAATCAAAAAAGAGATATCTACTTTTTGACAACTATTATTATTTATTATTTACAGTTTTTTTTATAACTAAACATATATTTCATAGAAATAATGTAACATGTAGTTGCAAAAAAAAATATTATTATTGGTAAAAGATATTTAAAGCATGTTACCATGTCTATTCTTGAGTTACATTAAGAAGCCAAATGATGTATTATGTTTTTTTTTTTTTTTTTTTTTAATATTATGAGTTTAAAACTTAGTTTAAACTCGATCAAATGTAATGCTTACTTTAATAAAGCATTTTGTCAATTACAAAACCCATGGGAGTATTTGGTATGCTATTTTTATTCCTATGGTTATAATACACTGTCATTATCATATATCGGGATAAAGATCATCCATTCATTAAAAAAATCCTTGTAAATTTTTTTACTAAATTAAGAATAGTTCCATTTCAGCTTGAAAATTTAAGTTCTGGCATACTGTATAGTCTTTCTAAAATTTTAAAGCTTAAAAAAATTATCTATTTGTTTAATTATTTACTTTTATGAAATATAATATACATTTTTTACGATATCATGACCTGCTGCTCATTATTCTATTATTATAGTCTTTATTCTATTATTATACTTATTATTCTATTATTATACTTGTAATTTTATTATTATACTCATTGTTTTATTATTATACTCATTATTCTATTATTATACTCTATTATTCTATTATTAAATTCTATTATTATACTCATTATTCTATTATTATATGAGGAGTGTAATAATAGAATAATGAGTATAATAATAGAATAATGAGTATAATAATAAAATTACAAGTATAATAATAGAATATAATGAGTATAATAATAAAATAAAGAGTAAAATAATAGAATAATGAGTATAATAATAAAACTGAGTATAATAATAGACTAATGAGTATAATAATAGAATAAAGAGTAGAATAATAAAATTTCGAGTATAATAATAAAATAAAGAGTATAATAGTAAATTACAAGTATAATAATAGAATAATAAGTATAATAATAGAATAAAGAGTATGATAATAGAATAATGAGTATAATAATAGAATATTATTTTACATATTATTATACTATTATTATACTTATTATATTCTCATTATTCTATTATTATACTCATTATACTATTATAATACTCATTGTTTTATTATTATACTCATTATTTTATTATTATACTCATTGCTTTATTATTATACTCATTATTCTATAATTATACTTGTAAATTTATTATTATACTCTTTATTTTATTATTATACTCATTATTTTATTATTATACTCATTATATTTATGATATACTATAATATTTAGTATTATAATAATATTAGTATTTTGTATTATACTCTATAATATTATAGTAATAATAATAACAATATTTATCATTATCAGTTTATAACTGTTTATAAATTTCTCTGTATATATATGCTGTTATTATTAAAATTGAAAACATACTGGTTGATTAATGGCTGGATAAATTCTTAAAATAGTTTTTTAACAAGTAGTTTCCACCCTAAATTCTCTAGATAATTTCTAATTATTACTTGATTATTGCTTCAGAAACTTTTTGTAGTTAGTCTTTTGACACTCATTTTTAATCCACGTTATTGCTAATTCAATCGCTTTTCTACTAGTTTTTTTAATTGAAGGTATAAAAATTAGTAGAAGCATATATTCAATTAAAAAGTTACAAGAGCATCCAGTTATAAAAAATTGGTTTAAATTTACTAAAATACCATATTTAAATAAGAAAATGGCGTTACAGAAAGCTTTAATAACTGATGAAAGTTATCTAAGAAGGCTTTTTAGATTTAACAACAAATTTATAATTTTAAAACTTACAAAATTGCAAATACAACTTAGGTATTTATTACACTTATAATTACACATTGAAGTTTCTTTATTACAATTTTTAAGTTCCTAATTACATCTTTGAAAAAAAATTTTTTTTTTTTTTCATGATTATTAATTATTATTTATTTATAGATGTTTTTCAAAACCGTATTGTGGCATGTTCATTTGATGCAAAAAATTGCAGCTTTCAAAATAATGGTTATATGTATAGCCAAGATAATCCAGAGGAAAACAGTTCAAACACATCTTTTAATCCGAGTAAGTTATAGCAACTTTTAAAATAAAAACATACAGCAAAATAAATTAATTTAATTAAACATATTTTTATATAATATTATATATATATATATATATATTATATATATTATATATATATATATATATATATATATATATATATATATATACATATATATATATATATACATATATATATATATATATATATATATATATATATATATATATATATATATATATATATATATATATATATATGTATGTATATATAATATATATATATATATATATATATATATATATATATATATATATATATATATATATATATATATATATATATATATATATATATATATATATATATATATATATATATAATGAATAATATTATATGAAAAAAGTAAAATGATAAAAATTAAATGGTTAATTTGTCTAAAAAAGTATGATTTATACTAATAGCATTTTGTATATTGCTAAATATTTAATGAATATGTTTGTTGAATGTGGTGAAAGTATTGAAGTTTGGCTTTTTTTTTTAATTCTTTGTAGATTGATTTAAAAAAAATCATTTTTTGGCCTGATGGTTTTAGGAACCATTTAAATCAACTTGTTTTTTTTGTTTATGTTTAGATAGTTTAACAAACCAACTATACAACTCACAATCAACTATAATTATTTGTTTGCCATGACAATCATTTGCTTATAACAACTCACAATCAGCTATAATTATTTGTTTGCCATGACAATATACATGAAAACAAAACTTTTATTTCATAGTTAACTTGTTTTTATATTTCTTTGTTTATTGTTCAGTTTTAGTGTTCAGATTGTTAAATTTTAAACTTTAAAAGAAGAAGTGAATTGTTTCGGGTTTGTCTTTTTACAAACTACCTTACTGTGCAATAGTTTAAAAAACACACTAACTGCTTGGAGTGTGGCTGTTTTGATTCCATAAACTTTTTGTTAGCAATAAAATAATTTCTATATAAATATTAACTTAAAAAAGAAAAACAAACTTTATAATTTTTGTTACAGTATTTTATTTATAATTTTTAGATAATGGTTTTGGTTATATGTATGGTAATAAAAGTCAATTGATTTTGAATGTTAGCGGAAGCTTATATACTGATATAAAAAATTTTGATATCTTTGTAAGTATGGCATATTACTCTGAAGATGAAAAATTAACTGGTGAGATTTACTTTTAGTATTTAGAAAACAACTTTAAAAATCTTAGATCTAGACTTTAGTTTTTTTATGAAAAAATAATTTTATGCATTTATTTCAAGACTTGAGATTCCTTATAGTGTTTTAATTATTTTATGATATAGTCCAACTATATCATAAAACAACTCCAACAATACGCTAAAACAATGTATAATTTGACATCATAAATTTTGATAAGTTACAGGCTTTTTTTAAAATGATAAAGTCATTAATGGTGTATAATCATTAAAACTCTCTTTTTTTTAAGCAAAATGTTTTAGCTATAAAATTTACACTTCCAATATACAGAAAGAAATGCCCCTAATCTTAAGTTGGTATGAAAATGTCAAAGATGTTTTACAACTTAGTAATTTTTTTTTCTTAAGTATTTACTGTTTTTTTATTTAAAATAAAGATTTTTGTTATTAAGTTTTTTTGAATAAAACTTAATAACAAAAATATAAAACAATAAGTTTTTAAATTTTTAATAATTGAAAATTAAATCAGAAAACAGTTGTTTAATTTATTTCACTATAATCTTAAGTTAAATAAACTTAAAACAAAACTGCATCAAATAATGTTTAGAAACAACTTGAATTTAGTAACACTAAAATCTTATGTTTTTTTTTTTTAGATATTCGTGTTACTGATAGTCAAACTCATATATATAAAAGTTCTTATGAAGATGTAAAATATTTATTCTTAAATGATTGGGCTGTACTAAATGCAAGATACACCCTAAACGAGTCTGATTTCATTGTAAGTTTTTTGTTATAATTTTATTATAAAATGTGAAAAAAAAATTAAAAAATCAATTTTAGTGTTCTCTAAGATAATACTATTATTGTTTTTATTATTTTTTTTTTTAACCTATAAAAGAAAGTTCCTTTGAAAAATAGAGAAATAGAAAGTAGAATAGAAAGATTTCTAGGTGACAACTAATGGTTATCAATCAAGTTTTAAAGTTAATGTTAAGTGTTTTTAAAAAAATTCAATAAGTTTTTTAACAAAGTTAAAAAAGAATAGTAAAACAAGTTAATTTGTTTGTTTTTGTTATCAACAAAACATTCATAAAAGAGTTTTAGTGGATATGACTCTATCAATTTTAGTGGATATGGCATTTTTAGTGGATATGGCTATATATTCTTTATCATCCTATATACTACATTTATAAAGGTTTTAAAAAATTTTTAACATTCTTAAAAATAAGAATCACACATACTCTTTACATTTTAAAAATTTTACTTTAAAAAAAGTTGGTTGCTTGCTTAAGTAAATTAGGTAACTGAATAACAAATAAGTATAAAATTATTTGTACATATTTTTAATTATTTATACTTATTTATATAATTTTATAAATAAGTTTATAAATATATAAAATGTTTAAAATATTTTATTGATCAATATGGCTTCTAATACTCTTCAGCTAAATATAAACTAATAATACTACTCTCAAGTTCATGCTTATTTAAGTTATAATATTATTTACCTTGTTTAGTTTGGAACCCATGCTACAAATAGATAATAAAACATATTTATATATGTGCGCATACACATACATAAATAAGCTCAAATAGATAATAAAACATATTTATATATGTGCGCATACACATACATAAATAAGCTCACAAAATACTTTATTTTACAGACACTTTGTCACATTTACATTATTTATATATTCTATTTGTATTTAGTTTTTATGTTTAAAAAAAATAAAAATATAATAAAAAATATTTTAAAAATGTCACATTTACTAAGACATGACTTATAGATGTTATTATTTAATTTACTAGCTCTATATTACTGGATTTAATAAAGTAGATGATGTATGCATTTACCAAGGTAATATAAAC